GGTGCGGGGCGCCCAGGTGGCCTCTCCTAGTCAGAAAGCACCACAGATGCAAAGCACAGCTGCTACTGTCGACAGCGGGGGCTCCCCACGCTGCACACGCAGGAAAGGGGGCCTGGCTTTGGCCGTTACAGACCCCAGCCGCATCCCTGCCCCGGGCTCCTCTCCTACAGACTTCACGGAAGGCTCCTTTTGTCCATGTTCTGCAAGCCCTTTACAATCCCCAGGCCCTGTCCACTCATCGGCTAACGAACCCGGGGTAACTGACGCCGCCATGTGGGAATGGGAGGTTGATTCTATTCTCCCATTTCCCAGCATGACGACGCTGTAAAAATAATCATCGCCCAAGTGTGGGCCTTCTGGTAGAGCCATGCCTGGTTCAAACCGCCTGACGGTGTTCCCCCTGCCGTCCCCAGACTGCTCCTCAGACTTCTAAGCCAAACGGGGTGCATCGTTCTCGTCTTCGAGACAAACGAGGCTTCTGTGCCCTGTGCTTCTTTTGCCTCTATTTCTAGACAGTTAAAATAGATCGCGTGGGAAATACATTAGCATCGATCACAGACAGAATTAGAAATGCCTCGGGAGCTGGCCGGGGTGGAGGAAATACCCAGCCAGGAGCCCTGAGGCCCAGGAGCCAGAGAGGCGGCTCCCAAATCGACAGCAGGGAAGAGCCGAATGAGCTTTGAGGCGCTAGGCCTTTGTATTTATTGCTGGCTGTCTCTGCCCAGGGAGGGGAGCAGGCAAGGGAAGGGCTCCGTCCCCGGCCGGGGCACGCACGTGATCGCACGCACAGTATTACCGTCAGCGCTGTCGCCACCGGCTATTGCTCCGACAGCCCCTGATGCTTGCTAGGGCCTGAAATCGGCAGGATTGCCCCCTGGATCCACTCACACGCGTCAGCTCTCCCTGCCAACCTGCATTTGTCACGGCCAGGCACTGAAGGAGCTGCCATCGCTGGGGATTAGGCCGGGTGGCGCGGCAGCAGCCTTAAGGCAACCCAGCTCCCACCCCCCTGCCGCCATTGCTGGGCTCCCCTCTGTGCATCGCGTGTCAGTTTCACCCGCCTCCCCAGAGGTCGCTGGCCTTGGAGAGATCCCTGCTGAGCCAAGCGCGGCTCCCCCGGACAAGGGGCAGCTTTAGAGATGCTGCAGCCCAGCTTCCTGAGGAAGTGACCTGTTCTGGGGTCCCAGGAGCCGGCACACGACTGAGTCGAGAGGAGAGAAGCCAGCCCCAAACCCTGTCTCAAGAGGACCTGCTCCAGAGTGACTCCTTGCCTGCCCTGCACAACTACGGCAAGTTACTGCTGCTCCCCAGGCCCCCACATCTGGAAAGACCAGGCCCTGAAACAGAGGAAGGCAGTGTTGCCTAGTGGCTTAAGCAAAGGATGGAGACACCGAAGGGGCCTGAGGTTCTCCTACGTCCACCCCCGCAACCGAGGCACTAGGTAACCTTTGGCATGTCACCTGATCTCCCTGCGCCTCCATCGCCAGGTCTAGTCCTCTAGCAGACGAGGTAACTGCAGAACCCGACAGCTCCGATGCTGCGTCTGACTTCGGCGCTGGAGTAACGGCAGGGGGGTTCGCTCTCCCGAGCGCCTTTGGCTTTTGCCGGCTCCCTGACTTCCTGCTTTCTCCCCCTTTGGCTCCCACCCTCTTCAGCACCGCTGGATTTACTCAGGAGGAAGGCAAAGCCCTCCCCCCGGGCCCAGCAGGTGTTGGGCCGTCCTTGGGCTGCTCCATCCTTCTCCGGGCGGAGAGCAGGCACCCGGGGCCGAGGGGGCTCTCAGTTGGTTTCTTCCGGGATTTGGCCTGGAATTCTGAAGCCCCTCATGGTTTGGTCCAACGTGTCCCGGGGGCTGGAGTTGCCGTAGCTGGAGCGGGTCTCCAGCGTGCAGCTGGTCCTCTGCAGGAACTGCAGGAAGTTCTCCTGGAGGGAGCCCTCCCGGCTGGAGAGAGAGAGCTGCTGGCTCAAGGGCCTGTTGAGGGAGGGCCGCCCCCACCGGGCCCGCAGTAAAAAAAGGGCCGGATGGCGAAGGAGGAGTAGGCGAGCCAGGTGACGACCGTCTCCCCCTGGCCCCGGCCCGGGCTGACCGAGTTGATGGCGCAGTATAAATGGAAGGAGAAAAAAGGCAGCCAGCAGCACAAGAACTGGCCCACGATGAGGGCCAAGGTCACGGCAGCTTTCCCCCCGCCCAGCCTGCGCTCTG